TTTTTTTTTTTTTTTTTTGCAGTGTGCAGTGTGCCTTATCAATGAGTTTTGTACTTTGTTACATTAAAATCCATTTGTCTATCTTATACTGTGAGTGGATAGTTTACCCATGTATGATTTTGTAACATCATGTGTTGAACATTTGGAAAATAGTGGTTCACTGAGTTATGCAGATCCTCCTTCCATATATTGATACATTTCATACACCATATGGGAAAAAGTCACCTTCTCACCTCCACTGATACCACATTGGTCGATACAGGCTTTCTGGAATTCTCATTCTTGCTTGAAAACCCCAATTTATCATTGGTAACATAGTTGTTTTCCTTGAAGTGACAGATTCACTTTATGTATGACAAATTGTCTTCTAACACTAGTCTAAATAACTGTCAGTGTCTTTCATGTAAAAAATGGTATTTTATTTAAAAAACCCACACAATAGCTAATTCAGTTCATAAACAATCACACAGGTACTTCCCTTGAGAAGAACATCATACTATGTTATGTAGAAGAAATGCTTTATGCATATGTCCCCTTTCTTCACTAGACTATGGGTTGAAATTTAAGAAAATTTAGTAAAATTCTTCTTTTTTTTACTGCATCTACAAAGACATTCCTTAGTGAAATTGTATTTTATTAAAATTTTATTTTATTATTTGTAAATTCATTTATTTTTACTGTGAGTGCGTGACAGTGAAGAAAACAGTATAATCTGCAGAATAAATGAATGAGTGAATTACTGCTACAGCTCTATAAATTATACAGATTCTTCATGGAATTTGTGTGCTCAGGAAAAGCAAATTATAAACCAAATCCTCTTTGACCATCAAATCTTAAATAGATCCTTCTAGGGGCACCTGGGTGGCGCAGTCGGTTAAGCGTCCGACTTCAGCCAGGTCACGATCTCGCGGTCCGGGAGTTCGAGCCCCGCATCAGGCTCTGGGCTGATGGCTCAGAGCCTGGAGCCTGTTTCCGATTCTGTGTCTCCCTCTCTCTCTGCTCCTCCCCCGTTCATGCTCTGTCTCTCTCTGTCCCAAAAATAAATAAAAAAACGTTGAAAAAAAAATTAAAAAAAAAATAGATCCTTCTATAAGTCAGTTGAAAACACAGGACTAATGAAGGAGTCTGGGAGTGTTTTCACCCATGAATGTTTTAGAGACACTTATTAATGCCAGGATTCCAGCTTTCATCTGTTGCCTTCAACCACTTAAGCGCTTTACACATCACAATTTGTCTTCCATCTCAAGATATCACAAGTTAATATTTAGGTCCCAAACTTCATTTCTTCCTTTGCTTTATCAGCCAGTTGATTGTTTTCAATAAACCTCAGTTCACTACAAACAAAATATGCATTCTCTCCTGCAAGTACACTAGCATGAGTTTTTAAATGAGGCCAGTATTTCTAACTCTATCTATATGATTGATTATGAGAGAAGAGTAAATCAGGAAAATTACATGTGTAAAAAGCATAGAGATAGAGAACTTTTAGTTTTATTTTAGGCAATACACACAGACGAGAAAGTTTAAGAAGCTACGGAATTAAGAGGAGAGTAAACATTCTTGGTGGAAGGTTAGGCTGGTTTTTTACGTATTATTTTGTCTTATGAAAAGAGTTGAGGGGCGCCTGGGTGGCTCAGTCCGTTAAGCATCCGACTCCGGCTCAGGTCATGATCTCGCAGTTTGTGAGTTCAAGCCCCACGTTGGGCTCTGTGCTGACAGCTCAAAGCCTGGAGCTGGCTTCAGAAATCTGTGTGTGTGTCTCTCTCTCTCTGCCCCTCCCCTGCTCATGCTCTGTCTCTGTCTCTCAAAAAATAAATAAATGTTAAAAAAAATTAAAAAAAAACGAGTTGAATTATGTAAGAAGGGTATTAGTATTATCATTTTATAGAAGAGAAAACTTAGCTAAAAAGACTTTTCCAGGGGCGCCTGAGTGGCTCGGTCGGTTGAATGTCCGACTTCGGCTCAGGTTATGACCTCATGGCTCGTTCGTGAGTTCGAGCTTTGCGTTGGGCTCTGTGCTGACAGTTCAGAGCCTGGAACGTGTTTCAGATTCTGTGTCTCCCTGTCTCTCTCTGCCCCTTCCCTGCTCGTGCTCTGTCTCTCAAAAATAAATAAACATGAAAAAAATGTTTTAAATGACTTTTCCAACTGCCAGAGAGATTACATTTGTTACTTTAGAGTTAGGAATAGAACCCAAGACTTCTAAAGTTCATCCAGAAGGCATTATTATTAGAGTTGCTTTTAATCCTTTCATGCTTCAGTACTTAAGATAAATGAAACCATTATGAGAAGAAACACATTTTTCTTAAACTCTAAGTGAACGTTCTTCCATCTCTGATGAATAGAAAGCCCTAAGAACCAGATTCCATTTTCCATAGAGAGAAAAAATTACAGTTCTGGATCTTTTTACAAATGTAAATATTTAAAATCTGCCTTTTTTTATGTGAGGATATCTCACCTAATTATTACAAGACTGGTATGAGAGTCACTGCTATGTATTTTTCCGCTTAAAAATGTACTTTGGAAAAGAGATAAAGATTTTGATTAACTACTAGGCAATTTTAAAATGTGCTATGGCTATATCTTCTCTTTCTGGTGAGTAAAACTAAAACCAATTCTTCTATATTCTATGAGTAGCACTTTAAATTTGAGAAACTAGTGGCACCTGGTGGCTCAGTTGGTTAAGTGTCTAACTCTTGATTTTGGCTCAGGTCATGATCTCACAGTTCATGAGTTTGAGCCCCACATTGGGCTCTGCACTTACAGCATGGAACCTGCTTGGGATTCTCTCTCTCTGCCCCTCTCCTGCTCACTCTTGCTGTCTCCCTCTCAAAATAAATGAATAACAACTTTAAAACAATAAAAATAAATTTAAGAAACTACTCTATTTTAATAAATTAATAGAAAAATACGGGTGTCAGGAAATTATTCTTTTGCTAATACATGAAAACTACGAAATTTAAGTGTTCTTCTTAAATTTTTAATGCAAGAAAATTTACAGAGTGTAAATTAGGATTTCATTTATAATGTTGCTTTTGCATAATAATTAAATTCTTTCCTTTCAGCTAATTGATAAATACCAGCTGAAAATAAAAGTCCAGGATATGGATGGTCAATATTTTGGTCTGCAGACAACTTCAACTTGCATCATTAATGTTGAAGATGTAAATGACAACTTGCCAACATTCACCCGTACTTCTGTAAGTACATGATAGTAATAAAAGAAAAATGTATGACCCAGTGTTAATTGGTAAACATGCATACCTCTCTCCATGCTGCATGATTTCAAATGCAGTATCCCCAGTCACGTGACAGTAACCCGGACTCAGGGTTTAAAATCATGTGACCATAGTCCTTGGAAATTAGAAGAACTGAGTTTACTTCCCACTGTGCTCTATTGGTTACAGTAACTAATTAAGCCTTTTTTTGTTGTTTTTTATTATTTTAGTATGTGACATCAGTGGAAGAAAATAGAGTTGATGTGGAAATCTTACGTGTTACCGTTGAAGATAAGGATTTAATAAATACTGCTAATTGGAGAGCCAATTATACCATTTTAAAGGGCAATGAAAATGGGAATTTTAAAATTGTAACAGATCCCAGAACCAATGAAGGAGTTCTGTATGTGGTTAAGGTAAGAATAAATTAGTAAATTAGTTATTTGTAGCTTATAATATCATAGATTAGCATACTAGGGTTTAACGAGAAGAAGAGAATTCTGGTAAATATACAAATAATGTAGATATATAGGTAAATGTAAATGTTCTCCATATCTATAATGGGATGGATATATTCAATTTGGGAAACCTTTTATAAAGGCATGATTTTTAAAGTAATATATATATATATATGTGTATATATATATATATATATGTGTGCGTATATGTGTGTGTATATATATATATATGTGTGTGTATATACATGTACATATGGTCAATAGTATCCACTTTATAACCAACATCTCTTAACAGTTCAAATACTGGCACAGCTTTGATGCCCACGGGGGCCAAGTTTGGGGCCAAACTTTCCTGGCCCATTCTTTCTGTAGCTGGGTCAGGGAGACTCCACTTATTTACTGAATTTCCCAAATGGTGAGTTTTTCCTGGTAAGATCCACAGGGAGAGCGTTTGTAGATCTGTTCATCTATATCTAGCATACATTACAACCTTAGCTTCTTGGTTAAGAATGGGAATCGTCAACCATTCAAAGATGCAGATACTTGTAAAACCTCTTTCTAATACTATTCTGCAACATCTCAGAAGACCTCACTGCTATTTCCAGAGCCAGTTAGCCCGTAAAGCCACCTGAGCTCCATTTGTTTTGGACACAGTCCTAGTCTTCATTGTGCTGTATCTTTATCTAGAATGTGATTCTATCCTGGGTCCGTGTAGTTTCCCTTTTTGTACATTTTCACAAAGAGGATGAATCAAAAGTGACGAATTCTTTCTTCTTACCATGATGAAAATTAGCTGCAGTTTTGTGGGTTAATTTCTGTATTTCAAAGAGTAAAGAAATGTCCTTTGAATCTTATCTCTTTCCTCATCCAACCCCTACCCTAATCCTTGGTATTCTAAGAAAGAATCTTACCTCTGTGAAGTCTTAACACCTGACAAAATCTCTGTCTTGTAGGGAATGGCTTTACCCATTCCCATTATAACTAATATCAGGCAAGATAAAATAAAAACGTTCCAGTAAATTTGGTACTACCAGTGTTTTTTAGAAAGTACCAGGGATGGAAGAGCTAACAAAAGACAGTGTAATGTCCATGAGCTTTCCAGTTTCTTCTCTGTCCTCTCTGAAAAACATTTCAGAAAATTTGACCCATAGTTTCTACCCCAAACCAGGTACAAATAATTTTATTCATGTCAGAATGGTAGGATAAGTTGTCCCAAAAATGAATGGAGCAGAAAATAACTATTGGTTAGGTTATGGAGTTCCTAACGTCTCAAGTGTTAACCTCACATACTTTTTGCAATCATTATCAGGACCTCTGATATTACTTGCAGTTGAGGAACAGTTTTTGTTTGTTTTGTTTTGCTGGTTTTGTCCACCCAAATACTGAATCAGTTGAAGGATTCTCCTCTTCCAACCACCACCTCGTTTCTGAGTCTATGTTTAATATTGTCAGGACTATTCCCGGCACGAGTTATGTATGTCACTTAACATGGCCAAACGTTAAACGTCTTGATCTGATTTTCAACACACTTGCTTTTGTAGCCACTGAATTATGAAGAAAGACAACAGGTGAACCTACAAATTGGTGTAGTTAATGAAGCTCCGTATTCTAAAGAGGCTAGTTCACGATCAGTCATGAGCACAGCAACAGTTACTGTTAATGTAAAAAATCAGGATGAGGGCCCCGAGTGTAGCCCTGCAGTGCAAACCGTTCAAATTAGAGAAAATGCGCCACCGGGAACAAAGAGCGACGGATATAAAGCATATGACCCCGAGACGAAAAGTAGCAGTGGCATAAGGTATCTTCTTTTAGTTAACTCCAAATTTACCATGTTTTTAAAATTCATAACTTGTTTTGATGCCAGAATTATAATTTGGCCTATGACCCATTTTGTCATTTTAATTTATCATTATTAACAGGTATAAGAAATTAACTGATCCAAAAGGGTGGGTGACAGTAGATGAAAACTCAGGATCAATCACAACTTTCAGAAGCCTGGATAGAGAGACAGAGACCATCAGAGGTGGTGCATATAATATTACAATCCTTGCATCAGGCAAAGGTAAGAACTTTGCTTTTAATCCTGCTACATCAATTCTCACCTACTTACATCCTCAGTGTTTAAGCCAACAGTATAGATTTTTAAATCAGCTGCATATATTTTCAAAATGTATTTCTCCCCCAAAAGACATAGAGCAAGTGAAAAGTTTGCTGTAATTTATTAATTCATGTCTGCTTTCTAATAACACCCCCCGTTTTGTGTAATTATAAAATAATTTAGCTATAGAAATACTGGAAACCGTGGCTTATTAAAAGTAAACAATAATTGAACATTGAGAAAGTTACTTTGGTAACTTCAATTTATCTAGTCATCTCTTTTTAAAATATTCACTGTGGAAGGAAAATTCATTGCAGGGAGAACATACTTACTGCCCCATAGTGCATTCCTGGAAAACGGTTCTGTCTTTTTACAAGAAACTATCAATATACTTGGGGGTTAGAATTCTGATTAAGGACATTATATAAAAGTAATCATAGATACGATTAATAGTATATTATAAAATTAGGAAGACAAATTCTGTGAATCCATAAAACCATATGAAATGTAAAATGTTCTGTGAGTCCTACCAATCTGAGGGAAGTATGAGCACAGTGGTTATATATGAGACCCATTTAGTACATGTTATACGTTTGACCTTTGTGCATCCATAAACCAAATATGCCAGCTCCAGTAAACATAAGTTATTACACTTTGGCTTACAAAGTTGGAACTTAGAAGTGACTTTGAAAGATGTTTTAGGTATTTCAGTCCTCTCCAAATTAATGAGAGATGGTTCATATCCATTGGCTGAATTGGAAAGGTTGTGATTATTATTAATTTAACTTTGATTAATTGAAGATTGCCCTTTAAGGCCTCAGCTTCCTTTGTATGTTGTAAAGACCTGCTTTTTGGTCAAAGGCAAGTGAAAAAGAAGAATGATATGAAAATCAAATCTGTTCTTTTTACATTCTTTTTTTAATGTTTATTTTTGAGAGAGAGAGAGAGAGACAGAGCCCAACCAGGGGAGGGGTAGAGAGAGAGGGAGACACAGAATCCGAAGCAGGCTCCAGGTTCTGAGCTGTCAGCACAGAGGCTGATGTGGGGCTCAAACCCACGAACCGTGAAATCATGACCTAAGCTGAAGTCGGATGCTTAACTGACTGAGCCAGTTAGGCACCCCTATTCTTTTTATATTTTAAATAGCACTTGGCAAATGGTTTGTTGATAGATAAGATAAAACTACTATCTGGTATTAGACATTTGGGATATAATTTTATTCTACATTCTCCTTTGTTGCAGAAGAGATTAAATAATTGAGAGATCAAATATGTGTATGGAGTTTAGATGAGTTAATCATCACTGCAGAATAGAATAAATGTGTAGTGGGGCCTTTCCCATTCATTTCTGTTGAAGAGGGTAGGGGATAAATAATTTTATGTCTATTTATTCCTTGAACGGAGATTCTACAAAAGGATGTTTTTTGTGTGTTTTTGTTTGTACCTTTTTCTAAAATCTATACTAGCTAATTTCATTTGCGCCCCCCCCCCCC